GGTTATATGTGACTATATAGGAAGTCAGCATTTGTATTTTGCATCATTAAAATAAAATAAATAAAAAATGAAAAAAAAAAAAACTATATACAAGCAATCAGCTGGAATGATAAAGATCTAGGAACTACAAATCTGTTCCAGAATTCCTCTAACAATTCTCTGTCTCTATTCAGACTAAGCTCTTCATGGATGGTAAGAGTATATAACTTTCTTGTCCTTGATATACAACAAGATTTAGATTTGGGAGCTTACCAGGATCTGTACTTCATCAGAGAGTTCCAACAAATTCCCCTCAAACTGCCCAGAGGAACTGTTCATGCAGTGAACAGTGACCTTGATACTGGTCCGGCCTGCTGCTTTTGTGTGGACAACTATGGCAAAGTTATGCTCTACTGGGAGCTGTAGAAAAACCTAGACAGTGAAGGGATAGATTAAGAAATATTCATGAATAAACACGGTGCTTCCCTTTTTTTTTTTCTGCTTTTTTAATATTCAAAAAGGTTTAAAATAAAGTCAGGGAAGAGTGGGAGGGGGTGAGGGATAAAAGACTACAAATAGAGTGCAGTGTATACTGCTCAAGTGATGGGTGCACCAAAATCTCACAAATCACCACTAAAGAACTTACACATGTAACCAAATACCACCTGTACCCCAATAACTTATGGAAAAATTAAAATTAAAAAGTCCCTCAGGCTGGAGAGAAGTGGTATGATCTCGGCTCACTGCAGCCTTGACCTCCCATGCTCAGGTGATCCTCCCACCTCAGCCTCCCTAGTAGCTGGGACTACAGGGGCAAACCAAAAAATGCAAATAATTTTTGTATTTTTTGTGTACCATGTTGCCTAGGCTGGTCTTGAACTCCTGGGCTCAAGCGATCCCCACCTTAGCCTCCCAAAGTGTTGGGATTACAGTTAATTTTTTATTTTTATTTTTAATTTTTGTGACTACATAGTAGGTATACATATTTACTGGGTACATGAGATACTTTGATACAGGCATAGAACCTGTAACAATCACATCAGGGTAAATGTGGTATCCATCACCTCAAGCATACTTAAAAGTTGAAACCTTTTTTGTTTTCTTTGAGACAAGGTATTGCTCTGTTGCCAAGGCTGGAGTACAGTGGTGCAATTACGGCTTTGTGTAGCCTCGACCTCCTGGGCTCAAACAATCCTCCCAAGTAGCCTTTCAAGTAGCTGAGACCACAGGCATGTGCCACCATGTCCAGCTAATAAAAAAAAAAATTTTTTTTTTTTCTAAAAACAGGATGGTCTTGAACTCCTGGGCTCAAGTGATACTTCTGCCTCAGCCTCCTAAAGTGTTGCAATTACAGGCATGAGCTACTATGCCCAGGTACAGTTATCCTTTCTGTGTTACAGAAAATCCAATGATACTCATTTATTTTATTTTGAGACGGAGTCTTGCTCTGTTGCCTAGGTTGGAGTGCAGTGGTGTGATTTCTGCTCACTGCAACCTCTGCCTCTGGGGTTCAAGCGATTCTCCCTGTCTCAGGCTCCCAAGTAGCTGGGATTACAGGTGGCTACCATCATGCCTGGCTAATTTATATACATACATATATATTTTTAATTGCATTTTAGATTTGGGGTACATGTGAAGAACATGCAAGATTGTTGCATAGGTACATACATGGCAATGTGGTTTGCTGCCTTCCTCCCTGTCACCTATATCTGGCATTTCTCCCCATGTTATCCCTCCCCACCTCCCCACCCCCTGCCATCCCTCCCCTAGTTCCCCCCAACAGACCTCAGTGTGTGATGCTCCCCTCCCTGTGTCCATGTGTTCTCATTGTTCAACAGCCACCTATGAGTAAGAATATGTGGTATTTGATTTTCTGCTCTTATGTCACTTTGCTGAGAATGATGGTTTCCAGGTTCATCCATGTCCCTACAAAGGACATGAACTCATCGTTTTTTATGGCTGCATAGTATTCTATGGTGTATATGTGCCACATTTTCCCTATCCAGTCTGTCATCGATGGGCATTTGGGTTGGTTCCAAGTCTTTGCTATTATAAACGGTGCTGCAGTGAACATTCATGTGCATGTGTCCTTATAATAGAATGATTTATAATCCTTTGGATATATACCCAGTAATGGGATTGTTGGGTCAGTTTTTATGTTTTTATAGAGACAGGGTTTCACCATGTTGGCTAGGCTGGTCTCGAGCTCCTGACCTTAGGTGATCCACCCACCTTGGCCTCCCAAAGTGCTGGGATTACAGGCATGAGCCACTGTACCTGGCCTAGTTATTTTAAAATATACAATAAATTACTGTTGACTGTAGCCACCCTGTTGTGCTATCAAATACTAGATCTTATTCATTTTATCTAACTATATTTTTGTACTCATTAAGCATCCCTACTTCCCTCCCACCCACCCACTATGCTTTCCAGCCTCTGGTAGCCATCATTCTTCTATCTCCATGAGTTCAGTTGTTTTAATTTTTGGCTCTCACAAATAAGTCAGAACATGCAAAGTTTGTCTGTCTATACCTGGCTTATTTCACTTAACATAATGTCTCCAGTTCCGTCATCCATGTTGTGCACATGACAGGATGACAGGATCGCATTTTTTTTTTTTTAGACAGGTTCTCATTCTGCTGCCCAGGTTGGAGTACAGTGGCACAGTCATGGCTCATTTCTGCCTCAATCTTTAGGGCTCAAGTCATTATCCTGCCTCAGCCTCTCGAATAGCTGCGACTACAGGCATGTACCACTGCCCCTGGCTAAATTTTTTTTAATTAATTAATTAATTAATTAATTTATTTTTAAGATGGGGTTTCACCATGTTGACCAGGCTGGTCTTGAACTCCTGACCTCAGGTGATCCACCCACCTCGGCCTCCCAAAGTGCTAGGATTATAGGCGTGAGCCACAGTGCCCGGCCTACATTTATTTTTTGTAGAGACTGGGTCTCACTATGTTGCCTAGGTTGGCCTCAAACTCCTTGGCTCAAGCCATCCTCCCACCTTGGCCTTCCAAAATGCTAGGATTACAGGTGTGAGTTATGGTGCCCAGCCATCTCATTCCTTTTTTATGGCTAAGTTGTACTCCATTGTGCATATGTACCTCATTTTCTTTATCCATTCATCTGTTGGTGGACACTTAGGTTGCTTCTAAATCTTGGCCATTATGAATAGTGCTGCAATAAATATGAGAGTGCAGGTATCTGCTTGATATAGTGATTTCCTTTCTTTTGGGTTTATATCTAGCAGTCGGATTGTTGGGATCATATGGTTATTCCATATTTAGTTTTTTGGAAACCTCTGAACTATTCTCCATAGTGATTGTACTAATTCACATTCCCACCAACAGTTTATGAGAGTTCCCTTTTCTCTACACCTTTGCCAGCATTCATTGCCTGTCTTTCAGATATAAGCCATTTTAACTGGGGTGACATGATATTTCATTGTAGTTTGATTTGCATTTCTCTGATGATCAATGATGTTGAGCACCTTTTCTTTTCCTTCTTTTTTTTTTTTTTT